GTCTGGCATCGCTCACGTAATGCAGCTTAGAGCTGAGGGAGACGCCTGTCATCACCTGGGCAGGCGGCCCAGACCTGGGTCCGACCCAGAAACCACCTTCCCTGGCTCGCTAGGAATTTTTTAAAACTCTGCATCATCTTCTGGAGATCAGGGCGCTGGTTCGGAGCCGGTACCAACCCAGAAACCAGCTTCCCTGGCCTAATGCATCTCTACAAACGTCAAGTTTTCTAGACTTCTAGGGTAACTAAATTACCTACGTGCACATGGCTTGAATCTGGACCTTTTTGTACATTCAGAAACCTTCTCCAACAGGTAAGATGGTTTTTATTTTAAACTTTTGCACACAAAAAAATCACTACAAACCGTCAAAATATCAGTTTAAATGTGCTGAAGACTTTGGATTAGATTGCAAACATAATCAGGATGAACTTATTCATAGTTGGAGTCTGGTGGTTTCAGTTACAGCCACTCACATCAGCTCCTCAATCTGTTTTTAAAAGGTTGTCAGCATCCAAATGAGCTGAGAGGAAATTCCAGGCAGCCACAGTCCCAAAGCAGCGACGCAGATATAAATAAAGAGCAGCCCATAGGATGCCTTTTAAGTTTTACCGTAACGTGTGTTTATTTGTGCTGCTCTTTTTTCTGTGCTCAAGTTATTAATTAATTTGTACTCGGCAACACTTCCCCGTGCACATTCGCATGCAGACATGCAGCGCACAGATGGAAATGCTGAAATAGAAACAATAGGCTCTAAAAGCCATTTAGATGATTACATAACAAGGGAGATCCCCTTAATATTAATTGGTGTATCATCGTTTTTATGGCCCACGCAGCTTGACCTGCAGATAATCACGATCTGCAGACGGAGGGCATGGATGGTGTCATTCTCTCTGGCGTATTATTCATTCAGAGAAGGGCTTCAAATATTCTACAAGCAGCTTTGGTGACGGCAGCGCTAAAACCTGAGAATGTGTCTCAACTGTTTATGTAAAATTCCTATTTTTGTTTGATTTTTTAAAAAATGGGAGAGATCTGTGTCTGAGTGAAAAATCCCTGTGGCTGGCACGAGCGGACAGAAACAGGAAGGCAATTTTAAAAAGAGGAATAAATTGATTAGAAACACCCGACCCTGTTACATCAGGCAGCTGGGAGCGGTTGGATTCCATCTATCATTCTCTAAAACCCTGTGTCATGTTTTAGGTTATGCTTTATTTTCAGCCTTTATGTCGGGTATCTGTACCAAACTTGTGCTAACCATTCTCACGGGACGAGCGAGGAAACTGCCAGGGGAAATACGCGCCCAGGGTTTTAGAGCAACTGCCCTTCTTCGAGAGCCGCTTTAAGGTGTGTGTTGGTGATGCGATCTGAAAAGGGTAACCGGGACAACCCAGATTCAGTACTGAGTGCTGCTAAGTGGACACAAAGCTTTGTTGGAACAGCATACATGTTTCTTCCACCTGTCATTCAAATGTCTGGGAATGCCTGCATCTCTAGCAACACCTGAGAAGAAGCACAGCACAGTCTAATGGACTCCAAAGAGGTTCATTTGTGCTTTTGTAGTTTTATAACACAATAATGAGAGCTATTATTGGGCCCAATGAGTAAAATGTTACCCATATTAAATGTAATAGTGTAAAAAATGAAATAAAACTGTCAGAATTTGTCTATTTGAAACCATCTTGCTGCTGATGCTCTTGCACAGATGTGATATTGCACAATAAAACAGAATGTATATGATAAATGCATACTTTAGTTGCTGAGGGATTGTAATGTGTTGTCAATTTGAGAGTTAATAAAGCAGGCCGGAAAGCACCGATCTCCTTCCTTCACTGAGTTAAACATGTAAAAAAATGCCTTCTCAACATGAATTGTGCTCAGTTTGAAGAAAATGTAAAAAAGGGAATGAAGTTGATTCAGTTTTGGGACATTTTAGGTTAAGAAACCAAAAGCAATCATGCACATACAAAGGCTTTTTTTCTTTTTTCATGAAGACTTAAAAGGAAAAAACTTGACACTTTCTGAGCTGGAGAGAAGATTAGCCTCTTTTTTTCCAACAGGCAAAAGCGCTCTAATAAAAATCAATGCAAATGCATTGCAGCAGCATCATTATGCAGATTACTGCCTTTGCTGTGGCCACAGCATGGTACAAATGAAAACCATCTCCTTCTCAGGGCTTTCAAACAAAAATCAAGACTATTTACTTCTATATTCATTTTCTGTGAGCTCTATGTAAGCTATTCTAATGATGCTAAAATCAAACCTTTATCATAATTATTATTATTATTATAGTACAGTTCGATTTTCCATCCAACACCATCTCTTTTAGACTGTTTTATGTAGTGTAAACTGAATTGAGATCTCTTGGATAGGAATTTGGTAAAATCCATATTTAATGATGAGTTTTAAGGTTTCAGATAAACGAAGATGCTGAGTTAATCATTGGTTTAATTTGCTCTCTGTGTTTGATTTTTGTGCTGTAGTTATTTTTCTGCAGTGGACATCTCCATGAAGCCTTTGCAGGCTTCCACTTACAAGCATTTGAGCAAAATGTTGTCAGACAAGTCGGCCCTCTCAGACAGAAATAATAAAACCAACCGTCTAGCTGTGCTCAAGTGGAACATCCATCACTTTGGCGCTTGACAGCATCACTGGCTGCTCCTTTATTTTGATTAAATAGTAAACTAATAAAATCCTACAGCCCTATTTTGTATACAGAATGTAACTTCAATCGTCCACTATGTCAAGGCAGGCGCGCAGTTAGGGTGGGGGACGGGGGGATCTGTCCCCCCCAGATTCAGATAGACCCCGATCCGTCCCCCGCACTAAGGCCAGAAAGAAAACAAAACAGTGCTTATTGTGAACAAAGTTGAGTGAGGTTTTCTGTTGTGCTTTAAAATAGAAAATTTGATTTAAAGACATGGAAGTAGGGCTGGGCGATATATTGATATTTTTAAAAATATTGATATAGTTTTTAAACAAGAAACAAGATGACTTCATATCTTGATATTGATTTAACTGGTCAAACTGCTATGCTAGCGATTAGCTGCTATGCTAGCGACTAGTTGCTCCATCTCTAAGCAGTCATTACATGTATTCTCACAAGTTTGCTCAATCTGAGAACCTCTGGGTAAATTTGCTGCTCTAAACTTTGCATTTGGATTCCTGGTTTTTAATTATTTGGGGTTGTTTATTTGGGTCTGTTTTTCCAATCTGCTTGTGCGGAGACACGAGCCAAACCCCTCCCTCTCCTGTGTAATCAGGAAACATCTACGGAATGCCGGAGTGGCCAAATTACCTCAAACATATTGTAAAGGTTTGAATAGTAAAATATGGGGTTACCGTTTTATTTTGAAGGTGAGCTCAACAGGTGAGAAATGTTGTTCCGATTTTTTCCACTATGCTTTGCTATGCTAGTAAATACTCCGTTACGAGCGATTCTGTTGAAAAAGTTAAGAGTGTGTAAGGCGTGGGTTACGGCGACAGTAGCCAGAAAATAATACTCATAATTGAGCAACCAGAGACTCTGAGTCATTATAGTGTAATAGCTGATATGAGCCAATAATGTCAGATTCCAGCCATGTTTGCCCTAATAACTAATAACTCCATGGTGCATGACCCATGTGATCTTCAGTAGATGCAATTACGTCATCATACATTTAGCTTAATATGATAGATTATTTTTTCTCTGGACAAGAAATAAATGATATGGCCCATCTCTAGATGAAATTTAAATAATTTTACATTAATTATATTATATACCGTAATTTCCGGACTATAGAGCGCACCTCAATATAACCGCACCAACAAAAAAAAAGGTTTTCTACTCACACACGCCGCACTCAAATACAGCAGCAACCACATGCAGGTCTCTGGTGCACAGCGCATGTACGGCCATAACATAAGATAATTAGACAGAAAGACGCTACACGGAGGTTTTTCGTTGTTGATTTAATTCAACAAAACTAATTTTATACATGGGTGAACGTGCCTGCAAGTTTAGAAAAGAACACCTGATAGCATTCATATTTCTGGATGGTTATAAAATAAAAGCAGAACTGACACGTTACTACCGGTAATTTGCATGTTTAGAAGAAAAGAACAGCGCTGACACAGCATTAATAAGCCCTGGATGATTAGAAAATAAAAACTGCACACAAAACATGCCTGGTTAGTAAATAAAACACACTTGCCTACCAGAAAAAGTCATTCGCTCTCATCTTCCTCTTGCACACTAAAGCCATTAAAGTCCTCTTCTTCAGTGTCGGAGTTGAACAGCCTCAGAAGAGCTTCGTCACATACCTTTTCCGTGGCGATGTCCATGTCGCTGTCCGTGTTGCTGTCATCATCCCCGGGTGAAACTGGCTTGAATGAGTTCTTCCTACTGCCGCCTCCAGCGCCGAACCATGGATTCATTCATGCCGAGCTTACGTGCGGCAGCCTTCGTCGTGCCGGCTGCTTGCATGTGCTAAATTAAAATGAGCACTTTCTTCGATTTCCCTTTTGACTTCCACCTGTTTCACTTTCTGCTAAAGCGCCCCCTGGCAGGTGAAGGAAAATCTTCTGTAAAGCCGCACCTCATTATTAGCCGCATGGTTCAAAGCGTGGGAAAAAAAGTAGCGGCTTATAGTCCGGAAAATACGGTAAATAAAAAGTGCCTGTGGGACATTTGATACACCTCTAGCTCTCAACTGTGTGTGTGTGTGTGTTAATAGACATCTGTACCAGAGAATAGGCACTAAGGTTAAAGTTTGACAAGAATCAATACATTTTTATGCATTTAATCTACTGACTTATTTATAGAATTTTTCAAGACAGTTTGAAGTGAGTTAACTTGTAAACACTTTACAGGAGGAAAAATATCGAGATATATGTCGTATATCGGAATTCAGCAAAAAGACATTGAGATATGAGTTTTGGTCCATATCGCTCAGCCCTACATGGAAGGTTATGTTTTTGTCTAAATTAAATCCCAAAAAAATTCCAGACTGACTTGTTCATACCTATATTTGCCATTTCAGGCACGGTGGCGGTGTAGGGGCCCTCGTCGAAAACAGGAGGGTTGTCGTTGATGTCCTGCACTCGAATTATGAACTGTGACGAGGGCTCCAGGGGACGTTCGGTCTGCCTGTCGGTGGCCGTGGCAATGAGACGGTACTCATCTTTCTCTTCGCGGTCCAGCGGCTTGGTGACGTGAATGTTACCCGTTTTCTCGTCTATCACAAAGACGGAGCCCGCCCCCTCACCTCGCAGGATATACTTAGTGCGGCCATCATTCCTGTCCATGTCAGTGTGGAGCTGGAAGAGGAGAAGCGAAAAAGGGGAGGAAAAAGGAATGAAAGATGGAAAGAAGGAGAGGAAAGGTGGGCAAAGAAGGAAACATGTGGAGAAGTTGGACGATGAGAGGTGGCGGGGGTGTGGGGGGGGGGGGGGACAAGAGTAAAAACCAGTTAAGTTGAAACTTAAGATTGTTTTCTCAAGACAGTCGGGCAGCGAAGACAAAACAAGCAGATTATCCTCTGCATGCCTCCAGGATGTAATGAATTTAAAAAGAAGCAGACAAAAGAAATACAAACAAACCCCCCCACCCCCCACCCCCATACACACACACACGCACACACACACACCCCACCCCCACCCACTGGCTTGCTTTCACGCCATCTTCATTCTGCGCTGTTTGTTTCTATTTATGCGTACTGTATGAACAGTTACGAAGCTGGATCTCTCTAATCTTCTAGACACCCAGAACACACGCTCTCCCTCTAACACTCAAAGCCTCTCACGCCGCCTCCAGCAGCAACGGACAGAGAGATGCTCACATGCAGTGGGTATTTAATGAAAGCACCAAATCAAAGGAATAATGAACAGTAGGCCAATCAATTATTCCCTAACAGGTGTTTATGAGTGAGAATGGAGGGGTGTGTGGCAGCAGGGCGTTTGGTATCGATCACGGCCCTGTGTTGTGTTTTATTGGATCAGCGCCTGGCGGGACGGCAGAGCAGCAGGGTGCCCAGCATCCTCTCATGCAGCGAGAGGCGGTATCAGGAAAGGCTCCACACTGTCCTCTGTCCCTGATGAGAAAGACAAGTCAGCGGGATGCGGCGAGCGCATCAAGATTCAATCTCAGCAATCCGTCTCCTACGTGGGTCGAATAGCAACTGTGACCAAAAAACCGAGCAGTAAATTAGGCCCCACTCACAAGAAAGTGTGACATTGTGACTTGAGATGGAGAGAAGACAGGGGAGAGGATGAGGGTTTAGCTCAGGAAGGCATTGTTGCGTGGCAACAGCTAAGCACATTTGCTAAATGAAAAGAGAATGGATACTGTGCGTCTGAATGTTCATTTACTTTGAGGATTGCCATTTTTCATGGGGGGAAATGGCACAAATATGCCAGCTTCCTGGGGGGGTAATGATAAGTGCGGATGTTGACAAGGTGGTTTGAAGCAAGGAGCACATTCACGACTCCAGAAACTCAGATGAAAGCTAAAACTATCTGAACAATCAGATTTGAAATTTAAAGAGCTCTGTATGATTCATTTATGTAAATTAAAATGCCAAATGGAGATTGTAAGAGCACACCCACCGACAGTTGACAGAACATTATGAGCTGCGTGCAAAAACTAGAAATAAAGCTAAAGAATGCGTTCTTAAATCTTGACTTTAGAAGAAAGCGTTTGGATTTGTTCTAATTATTCATAGCGGTTCAAACATATTCATGATCTGTGAAAAGGGATTCAAGCTCAGTGATGACATTTTACAATGTAGAAGGTAAGAAGTTTCTCCTAACAATAAAATTACCAGGATACTTTCCACAAAGGAGCTGCACAACCATAGCAATAATAACAACACCATATCACTGGAGGTGCAAACACACTGGTCACAGGTAAAGTCATGTCAGTAGGATACATTTGCATGTCGTGGCCTTGATGATTCATCGTTCTGATAAAACTGTTTTAGCAGCATTAAAGTTTGTTTTAGATGTCACATACTTATCAACCAATTAAATCAAACATAGTTGATACATTTAAAACAGGGGTGTCAAACATGCGGCCCGCGGGCCGGATCCGGCCTGCAAGCGGGTTAAATCCGGCCCGCGAGATGGTTGTGTAAACTTTATTTTCATACTTTACAATGTAGAGTGAAAATAAACGTATCTTTGTGAGCAAGTTTTCTCTGTAATGAGTATAAATAGAAAAGCTGCGCTCAAGGCTCACACAAGAACTTGAATCACATCCTGAAGCTGGACGCCACTCAGGATGTGACTTCTGATATTGATGTGCTGGTGAAAGCTAAAAGATGTAAAGTAAAATGAGTCAAATATACTTTCAGTGCTGCATGAAACTGATCTTGCAATATGATCTGTAAGCTCTTTGAATCACTAAGGAATGTTTTTTTTAATTGATTGATTTTTTTTTCAAATTTTCAAGTACACTTCAGGTGTTGTACTTGTACTACACTGTCCTCAGGCTCCAGCCTTGTTTTATATTGATTGTATTAAAACAAAGAAAACAATCTGAAGTTGTTTTTTTTTATTTACCGGTCCGGCCCACTTGGGACTAGATTTCCCTCAACGTGGCCCCTGAGCTAAAATGAGTTTGACACCCCTGATTTAAACTTTATAGCATCCATCCATCCATCCATTTTCATCCGCTTATCCGGAGTCGGGTCGCGGGGGCAGTAGCCTAAGTCGAGAGGCCCAGACTTCCCTCTCCCCACCCACTTGGGCCAGCTCCTCCGGGGGAATCCCAAGGCGTTCCCTGGCCAGGTAAGAGACATAGTCCCTCCACTGTGCCCTGGGTCTACCTTTAGGTCTCCTCCCAGTTGGACTTGCCCGGAAAACCTCACCAGGGAGGCGTCCAGGAGGCATCGTGACCAGATGCCCGAGCCACCTCAACTGGCTCCTCTCGATGTGAAGGAGCAGCGGGTCTACTCCGAGCCCCTCCCAAATGACCGAGCTTCTCACCCTATCTCTAAGGGAGAGCCCAGCCACTCTTCGGAGAAAACTAATTTCGGGCGCTTGTATCCGCGATCTCGTTCTTTCGGTCCCCACCCAAAGCTCATGACCATAGGTGAGGGCAGGAACGTAGATCGTATTGATAGCATTTTTATCATTAATAATTGTTCATGTTTCAAAACTCAGATTAACTCGAGGTAAAGAAGTATAATTATACATTTTGATCTATAGTGGAGAAGAAATATTTGTCTAACTTTACACATTGTTATTCAGCAATATTATTTTTAAAATATCACTTAAAGGTTGAATATTGAACAATTTAATTAAGAACTTATTTATTTTTAAATACCTCAATGAGGCATTTGGAGGTGTTCTGAATAAAGGTATGTTATTTCCGTTAAAAGCTATATTTTATTTTAAATAAATCAAATATTTATTTTGACGGGCACAACACTGGGTTTATGTTGACATCTACATGCCAAAAGAGGGCACTGTTGTGGGTTGCTAAACAGTCTAGCGAAGCTGGCACTGTGGAAAGTGACTCGGCAAGTCAAGCAGTTGCTTCTGAGCCCAGAAGATGTCGCTATACTTCTCAGAAGAAGAGCGACCATAAAAGATCTAAAACCAGACTGTGTTTAGGTGAAGCCTACTCAAATAAAACATTTCACTATTTGTTGGCCGGAAACCTTTTTTTATTCTTGCAACTACAAACTCCACACACTTGGTGTTCGTGTTCCATATTCAACCTTTACTACGTTTCTCGCTTCTTAAGGCTGATTCATGCTTCTCCGTCTGCGTCAGTGCGGAGACAACGTGAAGCTGAAGTTTCTGGCTCAAGAACAGCTGAAAATCAGTTTGAAAGCCATATTTTTAATTATTTTGTGTTACATTTACAACTAACCAGCACACTAACATAGTAATAGCCAGTAAATAAAGTGATCAACCACATGCTAGCATTGCTGTTTTGTTTGTACCTCTGACAACACGGTGGCTATTTTGCTAAATCAATGTATAATTAGATGCTTGTTTATCTTTGTCTTTTGGTTATTTAGGACGATGAAAGTGGTAAAATAGATCAAAACAACTCCTTGTTTTGGTTTCTAGGGCATGTGAAACACACTGTTTCTCCAAATGTCTGAATTTTTGAGTCTATGTGGAATCAAACCTCCTCTTTCGATGGAGTTTTTCAAAAATCTTACTTCTTGCCAGAAACTTTCTTTACATATGGATGAGAGATGCAAGCGCAGCAGAAAACCTCCCGATGCAGATGGTGCTCGAATCTCACAGCATGGTAACTCTTTTAGTCCATTTCTTAAATTCTTTTAGGATGATGGGTTTAAATTGTGTGATGTGAATTTAGATCCGACCCAGTTGTCAGAACAGAAAGTGCAGCCTGACAGAAATGTCTTCAAGATGGCTCCATGAAGTCAGGTGTTTTCTGTTGGTTTCACAGTTGAAAATGTAACAGCTCTGTACTCCTCTCTGGGTAACAGTGAAGCTATTATCTATAATATGTGGGTCTCACAGGCAGGTATGAGTGTAAAAGTAAAAAAGTTTCCTCAGAAAGTAGAACAGGACTTTAGCTCTTTTAATCCAGGTACTTAGTTAGCAGGCAAGCTAGCAATGATTCAAGGAGGCTTTGAAAACATTGGGAGAATATTTTATGCTACTTTGAAAACAGATTCAGTCCTTGATTTTCATAACATGATATTTCATAATTGTGGTGTCGTGTAACTCCTCTCATTATTCTTTTTGCTCTTTCCAGGTCATTTCCAGCACCCATGAGTAACATTTGTACAAAGAGCTTCTTTCACTGCAACTAGTTTTAACTGTCACAGCATGAAACGCACGGGAGCAAGTGATGGTATTAAAGATGCTGTTTTCATGTGTCTGGCTGAGTTATAACCAGGGGACCTTTTGCTAGCATGCACCACGACAGAACTCTGAAAATGAGGGAGCTGCAAAGCGTAAAACCATAATTGATGCCATTATTTACACCTTTGCCATTAGTGGAAAGAGTGTTTTGTAGTACATGGCCTGTCTCTAGCTGTCCCTATAGTTCTTGTTTTTGTTCGGTGATGCAATCAGAGCCTTGTTCTTGTTAATGAGACTTCCCCTGTGTAAGCCATCCCACACACACACACTCACACACACACACACAAACACACCATCCCTCTACCAGACTGTCAATACAAGGATTGCTACCACACACTTCCAAATTGCTCTTTATTGTCAGTCGGGTTAAAACAAATGTCCACCGTTCCTGAGTGTGGTTCTTTTAAGGTTTGTTGGTGTGGAAAGTGGTTAAGATGTTAACTTTCTTCCATCTAGAGAGAGTTGAG